GCTCCTCCGATCTGCCTCCCTCTCCCCCCTCCCGTGTGGGGAATTGTGGTGCGTTCTGTTCTGATCCCCTTGAGATGTGGAGGGGAGGGAAGCAGAGAGGGGGGGGGGGAGTGAATGTAAGGAAGGGGGGGTATTTTTTTTTTCTTTCTTTCTCTCTCTCTGGAAAGTGGATCAGATGTAATTCAGTGCTGGTAACAGCTGTGCAGGCATCACCCTGTGTGTATGTGTGTATTCCCTGCAGGCCAACGAGCGCATGCAGCATACACAGCAGCTTTGCACCTGACTGCTAGGTATGGTAAGGCTAATGACACCAGAGGTTCCTGGTTATGTGATAAATGTTATATTCAGATTGTGCTTCTAAAAATATAATCATATCGGCTGTACGTATATGAACTTTCAGTTTAGGGGCTTTTGTATGCCCAGCCAGCCTGATGGTTTGCAGAAAAAGGTAATCGAGGTGAGCTGCTGGTGGTGTCATGTTCTGTATGTATGATGTAAATGTATGTAATTAGGATTATTAAGATCCCCCCTTCACATCAGAGTCACCCTATGCATTAGTAGTCCCCTTTCACACCAGAAACCCCTCTTTCATATCAGACCATTACATTAGGAGCCCCCTTCATCTCAGTCTTCATTCCATTCACATCAAAGTGCCCCCTTTAAATTAAGATCCCCCTTCACATCAGGGTCATCCTAAGCATTAGTAGCCCCCTTTAGCATCAGAAACCCCTCTTTCATATTAGAGTCGTCGTCATTGCCCCCCCTTTTTACATCAGGGTTCTCACTATCACGTCCCAAGTCCCACTACCACAACATTTTGAGGCACCCATGAGGCACCCAGAAGGCGCACCCTGGTTGAGAAAGGCTGTAGTGAGTATACATAAAATGAGTGAGATGGTGGTCCTTGTACACATAGTGGATATAGTGACTGGGTGCTCTACATGTATCAATATTATAGACCAGGTGTGGGCAACCTAGGCCCTCCGGCTGTTGTGGAACTACCAGTCCCATGATAAATTGCAAGACTGACAGTTATAGCTATGACTCACAGAGACAGAGGCAGAATGGGTTTCTGTAAAGCACAGCTGGAGGCCTGGGGTTGCCCACCCCTGGTATAGACCAAACTTTCTTAACCAGGGTTCCTCCAGGGGTTGCTATGGGTTACTTAAACAATGATTGGTTTTTGCTTTTCAGATAAGTTATCATGGACACTAATGCTGTTTTAGGTACCTGTAGGCCATCATTCCCTCATTTATTCTTCTCACTGACCACCAATGTAAGGGACATTCTTCTCACTGACCACCAATGTGAGGGACATTTTTCTCACTGATCACCAATGTAAGGGGCATTCTTCTCACTGTCCACCAATGCAAGGGACATTCTTCTCCCTGATCACCAATGTAAGGGACATTCTTCTCACTGACCACCAATGCAAGGGACATTCTTCTCACTGACCACCAATGCAAGGGACATTCTTCTCACTGATCAACAATGCAAGGGACATTCTTCTCACTGACCACCAATGTAAGGGACATTCTTCTCAATGACCACCAATGTAAGGGACATTCTTCTCACTGACCACCAATGCAAGGGACATTCTTCTCACTGATCAACAATGCAAGGGACATTCTTCTCACTGATCAACAATGTAAGGGACATTCTTCTCACTGATCACCAATGTAAGGGACATTCTTCTCACTGACCACCAATGTAAGGGACATTCTTCTCACTGACCACCAATGTAAGGGACATTCTTCTCACTGACCACCAATGCAAGGGACATTGACATTCTTCTCACTGATCACCAATGTAAGGGACATTCTTCTCACTGACCACCAATGTGAGGGACATTTTTCTCACTGATCACCAATGTAAGGGGCATTCTTCTCACTGTCCACCAATGCAAGGGACATTCTTCTCCCTGATCACCAATGTAAGGGACATTCTTCTCACTGACCACCAATGCAAGGGACATTCTTCTCACTGACCACCAATGCAAGGGACATTCTTCTCACTGATCACCAATGCAAGGGACATTCTTCTCACTGACCACCAATGTAAGGGACATTCTTCTCACTGATCAACAATGCAAGGGACATTCTTCTCACTGACCACCAATGTAAGGGACATTCTTCTCACTGACCACCAATGTAAGGGACATTCTTCTCACTAATCACCAATGCAAGGGGAATTCTTCTCACTCATCACCAATACAAGGGACATTCTTCTCACTGACCACCAATGTAAGGGACATTCTTCTCACTGACCACCAATGCAAGGGGCATTCTTCTCACTGATCACCAATGTAAGGGACATTCTTCTCACTGACCACCAATGTAAGGGACATTCTTCTCACTGACCACCAATGTAAGGGACATTCTTCTCAATGACCACCAATGTAAGGGACATTCTTCTCACTGACCACCAATGCAAGGGACATTCTTCTCACTGACCACCAATGCAAGGGACATTCTTCTCACTTATCACCAATGCAAGGGACATTCTTCTCACTGACCACCAATGTAAGGGACATTCTTCTCAATGATCACCAATGCAAGGGACGTTCTTCTCACTGATCACCAATGCAAAGGGCATTCTTCTCACTGTTCACCAATGTAAGGGACATTCCTCTCACTGATCACCAATGCAAGGGACATTCTTCTCACTGACCACCAATGTAAGGGACATTCTTCTCACTGACCACCAATGCAAGGGACATTCTTCTCACTGTTCACCAATGCAAGGGACATTCTTCTCACTGATCACCAATGCAAGGGGCATTCTTCTCACTGTTCACCAATGTAAGGGACATTCTTCTCACTGATCACCAATGCAAGGGACATTCTTCTCACTGATCACCAATGCAAGGGACATTCTTCTCACTGATCACCAATGCAAGGGACATTCTTCTCACTGACCACCAATGTAAGGGACAGTCTTATCACTGACCACCAATGTAAGGGGCATTCTTCTCACTGATCACCAATGCAAGGGAGATTCTTCTCACTGATCACCAATGCAAGGGACATTCTTCTCACTGATCAACAATGCAGCTGTGCTTTAACTACAAATCCCATCATGCACGTGCCTCTGGAAGTCATGCCTGTAAAGGTCAGTCTTGTTACGCCCCATGGGACTTGTAGTTCCACAACAGCTGGAGGGCCGGAGATGCCCACCCGTTATAGAGGGTGCCTATTTTTGGAACTTCACTGGACAGGCAGCAGGCAGGATTTTTGTTTTGAATTTACTGCACCCTCATTCCACCAAAATCCAGGGGTCTGATTCCTGCCATAGTTTGAAGTTAGAAAGGGGGGCTCCTTGAAACAGTCCAGGTGTGCTTTAAATGTGTGTAAATACTCTGTAAATATAATCCTGTATTTGGTCATTAACCATGACATTTAGGGATGCCACGATATATCGGCCGCCGAAACATATCGGCCGAAAATTTCACTTTTGGCATAATGCCGAAAGAGCCATGTTTCGGCGGATACATCGGCGCATCCCTGGTTTCTTTCCTCCCCGCTGGGCGCTGCTCTATGTTCCAGCAGGGAGAAAAGAAAGTGACAGCCGGCCGAGCGCTGCAGGACGAGAGCGCTGTGAGCGGCTCGCCTCCCACACCGCTCAGCCGCCTATCACAGTCTGGCGGAGCAGTGTGGGGGTGGAGACAGCGCTGTCACAGGAGGCTGGGCTTTCCTCTCTACACCACTCGATCAGCCTCCTGTGACAGCATGTCAGAGAGAAAAGCAAGGTACACACACTCAGCGATCAGTGATCGCTGAGTGTGTGTACATAATTGAGGACACGGTATGTTAACTATATCCTCAATTATGAATGAATGGGAGGGATCTACATCAACTGTTCACCAATGTAAGGGACATTCTTCTCACTGATCACCAATGTAAGGGACATTCTTCTCACTGATCACCAATGCAAGGGACATTCTTCTCACTGATCACCAATGCAAGGGACATTCTTCTCACTGACCACCAATGTAAGGGACAGTCTTATCACTGACCACCAATGTAAGGGGCATTCTTCTCACTGATCACCAATGCAAGGGAGATTCTTCTCACTGATCACCAATGCAAGGGACATTCTTCTCACTGATCAACAATGCAGCTGTGCTTTAACTACAAATCCCATCATGCACGTGCCTCTGGAAGTCATGCCTGTAAAGGTCAGTCTTGTTACGCCCCATGGGACTTGTAGTTCCACAACAGCTGGAGGGCCGGAGATGCCCACCCGTTATAGAGGGTGCCTATTTTTGGAACTTCACTGGACAGGCAGCAGGCAGGATTTTTGTTTTGAATTTACTGCACCCTCATTCCACCAAAATCCAGGGGTCTGATTCCTGCCATAGTTTGAAGTTAGAAAGGGGGGCTCCTTGAAACAGTCCAGGTGTGCTTTAAATGTGTGTAAATACTCTGTAAATATAATCCTGTATTTGGTCATTAACCATGACATTTAGGGATGCCACGATATATCGGCCGCCGAAACATATCGGCCGAAAATTTCACTTTTGGCATAATGCCGAAAGAGCCATGTTTCGGCGGATACATCGGCGCATCCCTGGTTTCTTTCCTCCCCGCTGGGCGCTGCTCTATGTTCCAGCAGGGAGAAAAGAAAGTGACAGCCGGCCGAGCGCTGCAGGACGAGAGCGCTGTGAGCGGCTCGCCTCCCACACCGCTCAGCCGCCTATCACAGTCTGGCGGAGCAGTGTGGGGGTGGAGACAGCGCTGTCACAGGAGGCTGGGCTTTCCTCTCTACACCACTCGATCAGCCTCACCGGTTTCGGCCTGACTTTTTTTTATTTCAGTTTTGTTTCGGTTTAAACATTTCTATTTCGGTGCACCTCTAATGACATTGTTTATTTTTGGAGAACAATGATGACAATATATTAATATGTATTTAGAAAACAACAGCTCTGTTTTGTCAAAGTTGATAAATCTTTGTTGTTCCTCATAATAGCCAGTCTGATTTCTCTGATCATTGTCTAGGCCTGGCTAGAAAATAAATGGAAGGACATTCTTTCCTTTTAGGCAAAACTCCCATTATTCTTTTTCTCCAAGTTAACTATACTGAGGTCAATGAGGTCAGTCTCTCAGAAGCAGATATATATAGGAAGTGATTGAACAAGGCATACGTAATTGTCATTGAAGGTAAATCACATCTAGATCAAATGACCACTACATACAGATATCAGTCACCTTACCTCATAAGACAGTGCAGAGAACAATGATGTTGTGCTATCAAATCAATCAGATTCCAACCTTCAGCCTAGACCAAGGCTACATGAAATCTGGTCGCTTTGGGTTAGGTGACTTAGGCCCATACTATAAAATAAAGGTACACTAGTGAGTCTAGTACTTGGGTTCTCAACATGAAAACCCGCCGATTTGTTATAATGCTAGAGAACATTTATATTTCATGTTCGTTGACTGAAGTCATGAATCAGTTCCCTAGCACGACCCCTCCTCTTCTGATAAAAGTCTACATTAAGTACACTACTATATACATGTTGTACCTGCCTGCCTACCCAGTGTTGCACAGCCTACCCCTGTTGTTGCACCCAGTTCCTCTACAGCAGGGGTAGGCAACCTCAGCGCTCCAGCTGTTATGGAACTACAAGTCCTATGATGCATTCCAAAACTGACAGCCATAACGTCATCGCGCATGCATGTGACATGGTATCGCGCATGCGCGGCCATCTATGTGATACCGGCTGGCGGCCATCTTGGTGATGGCAGAGAGAGGATGGGACAGTCAACCGGCGGGATAAGGTATGCAGCCCGGTCCCCTGCTCTCTCCTGCAACTGTCTTTTCCATGACTGAGTGTCCGACTTTTCAGAGGGGGTGACACCAAAATGTTGGAGTCACCCTCTCCAATGGTGTCACCCGGGTGCAGGCCGCACCCCCCTTTGTGACGCCACTGACATGATGGTATTTGTAGTTTCACCACTGCCGGAGTGCTGCAGTTGCCTACCTTTGCTCTACAGCAGGGGTGGGCAAGCTCTAGCCCTCCAGCTGTAGTGAAACTACAAATTCCATCATGCATCTGTCTGTGGGAGTCATGCCTGGGGCAATGCCTCATGGGACTTGTAGTTCAAGAGCTGAAGGAACAGAGTTTGCCCACCCCTGCTCCACTGTCTTGTCTGTATATCCATTCAAGCTGGTTCTGCTCTTATTGCTTCATGATTTGCCTCTTCTATACAGCAAAGCATGCTGTATAGAAGAAGGGCTGCACTGGTTGATACAAGATGGGAAGGCTATCTGGGTAGACAGCTAAACATGTGCAACTTGGCACTCCAGCTGTAGTAAAAATACAAGTCCAGTTGCTTTGAATTGTTTTTTTTATAGATATACCATGACCTGGATGAATGAGAACCTTCTCAGACATCATGGGACTTGTAGTTTCACCATAGATGGTGTGCCAAGGTTTCCTACCCATGATGATGTATACATGTATTGAGGCATGGTGGGTAAGTTGTACTTTTATTAGAAAAGTAGGAAGAAAATGTATTCTGACCTGCTTCTGCAGATCGGCACCTGACCAGCACAGTGTGTGCATTTGTAACTGAGAGCCTTTGGGTCCCTATTAGATCATATTTGGTTGGATGTTGCATAAAATTAGGATTATTAAAGTCTTTTTATTTCTGTTTGTATATTTTAAACATTTTTATGTATTGGTGAACAAGTAAAAGGTCAACCACCCTATGTCACCGGTTCAACAGGAAGGTAGCAGCATCAGCAGGCATATTGTAGATGAACCTATCTCACTGCCAGCACCTTCTCCTGGGCACCAACTATAAGGCAATGGTGCTCTGGGAAGGGAAAGCTTTTTTTTTTAGATACCCTCAACGCTGAAGGGCATGTAGCATGATATCAGCCTTGCAGAGGGCTGAGCACTTGCTGGGAAACCAGTGCGGGGTCAGATTTTTCATTTAACAATTTCTTCAACGGAACAATAAAATCTTGTAAGTGCTGAATCTGTGTAAACGACACAAATTAGGCAGTGTGGGTACACCAGCCTTACATTCTCCACCTTTAAACTGCTGAAAAGTAGTTACTCTACAGTTCTGGGGATAAACATACACTGATGGCATATTCACTGAGGGTAATAAATGTTGCCAAGAAAAAAACACACAGGGGTCTATTCACAAAGCTGCCGAAGAATCTGGCCGTAGCTTCGATGAAGGCGAACCTTTTTGAGGCTGAGTGCCCAAAACGGATCACTAAATTAATGTATGTATCTCAAAATGCCAATCCTCTCAGGTGGTCTATAACGGCTCTCAGGTGGGCTTTGAGGTGGTCTGTATGGGCTCTCAGGGGGGCTGTGCAGGTTCTCAGGGGGTCAATAAGGGCTCTCGGATGGGGTCTGCAGGCTCTCAGGTGGTCTGTATGGGCCCTCAGGTGGGCTCTCAGGTGATTTGTATGGGCTCTCAGGGGGGCCAGTGGAAAAGTGCCCAATTATATTGGTAGTAAGCGTAAAGTGGCCACTTATATTGGTGGTCAGTGGGGAAGGGCCCTGCTTACACCGATTTCAGTGGAGAAGTGCTCTCTTACACTGCTAATCAGTGTAGTTCCACCTTATATTGGAGGTCAGTGGAGACAAGCCCCCTTACATTGGTGGTTATTGATAAAGTGCTTCCTTACATTAGTGGTCAGCGTGGTGCTCTCTTACAATAGCAGTAATTGTTGCATTGCCTACTTTCATCAGTTCCCAGTGTAGTTCCCTCTTATATTGATAGGTAATGAAGAAGGACCCATTTCAATGGTGCTGAGTGCCCTCTTACATTAGTGGCCAGTGGTGAAGGACTATATTACATTGGAGATCAGTGTAGTACACCCTTACTACTACTATTGGTAAGTGGAGAAATTTCACCCTTTTATTGGTGGTTAGAGCAGTGCCTCCTTAATAAGGCAGTCAGTGGAAAAGTGCTCCCTTACACTAGCAGCAAGTGGGGAAGTGCCCCTTTTACATTGGTGGTCAGTGGAGAAGTGCCCCCTCACAGCAAGTGGGGAAATTCTCACTTATATTGATGATCAGTGGGTTGCATAAACCATTGGTGTCACTAGAGAGGATGGGCTCCAGGAACTGCTGGACAGAACTACTTTTCCCAGCACTGTCTGCAGTCACATCAACCCCTTATTACCAGCACTTGGGGTCGACTACCTGCACCAATCTCCTACTTTAAAAAAACATGTGGTATTTTTATCTGTTATTTGCTCATTTTAACTTTTTTTTTAATCAAATCCCTAAAGGTTTTATCACACGTGTGCTAAATTCCAGCATACACATTATGTTATCAATTGTTCAGAACCCCAAGGAGTCTTTTGCAGGGAGCAGAAAACAAGACATTCTAGATGAAGATAAAATAATGATCTATGAGATAAAACACCAAAAATGAAGGTGCAAAAAAAAATAAATAGAATATGATGTAAAATTTTGCTATTACTTTACTATTAACAGGGCCTGAAAATTCAATAGTCCTCTCTATGACGAGAGGACACTGGAGTCGGAGCCGGACGAGTAGCTGCCTGGCCAGCCGTTGTAATTAAATGGCCGTCCAGGAACTTCTTGGATGGCTGTTTACATACAACCGATCTGGCAGCTGTGCAGTCGCTGGATCGCTTGTATAATGCGTGCAGGTGTGCTGCCCCCCCCCCCTTTGCCCCCTATGTGATAGCAATAAAGTTAAGTGAAAAAAAATGAAAGTTACAAAAAATGTAAATGCCAAATATAAAAAAAAAACATCACAATTTTTTTTTAAAGTCCCCTGCCCCCACACACAAACATGCGTCGGGTGCGCCTACGTGTGAAAATGGCGATTGCGCCACACATGTTACATATCACTGCGAACGTCAGAGCGAGGGCAATACTTTTAGTCCTGTTAATCACTGATAACACTAAACTGATGAGCAGTAAAAGCTTTTAAATCTTTTATATTTTACCAAAAATATGGGTAAGAATATTTTTTTTTAACATTACGTAGGGAAGACAAAAAAAATGACGGTACTTTTTTCATTATACAGTAAAAAATAAACCCCCCAGTGGTGATTAAATACCACCAAAAGAAAGCTCTATGTGTCCCCAAAAAAATGTTAACATACATTGCAATGCTATAGTCCGGTCATGCTGACTGGTGAGACACCCTAAAATGTTTCAAGCCTTGACTTGAGAGAGAGATTTCCCATCGCTAGTCCTGTAAGACAGTTTTCCATTTGAACAGAAAGCAAGGGGAAACTAAGAGGTTGTAGCCCTCCCCTATCCAAAAGAGAAAAAATAAGTTGTACCTCGAGTTGGGATTTAACACATTTGTGTTGGATGTTTACCTATTCATCTTCAATATCTATTAAATTTGGCAAATAGTCATATTTTTCATGTCAATAACTAACCAAACATAATTTTGAGCTGCCCAAACTCTGTATAATACAGTATTTTACCTATATAACTAGAAGGGTAATACAATAATATAACATAAGGATTTGTGAACTTGAGGTTAGATATACAAATGAACAAAATCCCCATAGGACACAGGGAACCTTCAATAGTAATGTTACATAAATTACTTGAATCCCACAAGATAAAGAATTCTTATAATAGAAATGTGCAGCTTCTGTAAGACAGCCGAGACTGCACGTGTGGGTTTGGTGTGTGTGTAAAGACATGCGTGATCACAACATTGGACTGTATCTGGCATTCGTTTGTTTACATTTTTTTGCTTTTTATCTTTTAATTGCAATTCAGTCCCCAATTATCTTAGCTTGTTACAGTACACATACAAAGATGTCAACCTTGGAAACAATTTTTAAATTAATAAGGAAGCACGCCATGGTGAAATGTGGGTAAAGCTAATTAAGGGGAGTGGCTTATTACAAATACACATTAAGTGAGCCAGAAGCCTAAAACATACTACAATATACAACATTTTCTAGTAAAAAAAAAAAATCAATTATGCAATTTTATGTATTTACAAGATTATAATTTTTTTGCCTCCAAGAATTTAAAACTGACTTAAAACATAAGTGCAAAGTTAAAAAAATATATATATTATAACGTAGTTGAGATTTAAATACATTGCAAGTCTGTTAAAATAATGCTCTTGTGATAAATAAAATACACTGAGTGGCCAGATTATTATGACCACCTGACGTTTGTCAAATAAATAAGCTATAAGCTTTGTCAGGCAAATAAGCTATAATTGGCTATAATTTTGCGCTGAAGTTGCTAGGGGGCCAGACCATTAAGGCGCGCTAGGGGGCGCGTGCGAGCAGGAAAAAAATGCCTTCTAGCGACGGCAACCCGCAGATAGGAGTCAGCCGTCCGTCCGTTTTTTCTTAACGGGCGGACGGCAAGAGGTTAAAGTGTTTAAAGACTGGACTGTCAGCCGAACATCTGGGTCTGAACGTGCGAATTGTGGCCGTCAGCGACTAGTCAATGTTAGGGCAGAACAGAGAGTGGCAAGACTGGTACAAGGCAACAGAAGGGCAACAGTGCCGTGTCAGATTCCTCGCATCACCTTTCAACATCTCGTGGAGTCACGAGGCGGCACAACTAAGTCATCTCGTGGCCCAACGAAGTGGTCATAATAATCTGTCCACTCAGTGTATATATTGCATTATGTTCTGTTTTACCTTCCACCTGCATATAAACCATTGCCTGACATTTGGGAAAGCTGACCTCCTGAGTTCTACGTTCATTAAAAAAGAAAACATCAAGGGCTCATTCATGCAAGGTGCTCTGCGCAGCTAGATCAACACAGACTCAATACAAGGATAGTGAGAGAACAATTGTTCTCTCTTTGCCCTGTAAACATCATACCGTTGTGTTGGTGTTCATTGCATAAAAATGCAGTGCATGGCAGTCCGTCACAACATGCTGTTGGGCATAGCTGAGTGATATTTTTGTAAACTTTCAATAAAGTAAAAAAACAAAAACAGAAGAGGAAAGGGAAACTACCATGGATTACAGTAAGGCACACATTACAGTATTGTTTTATGTTAAAAAATCTGAGGGTTTAATGTCACTTTAAGTTTGCTGGGAGTTGCCAGCAGGCTCCTCTAAGCGTCACAGGACCCTGCCTTGAGCATTATATGAAAGAACACTTTTCTGGCATCTTTTTAGGCATAAATCCCTGCTGCCCACTGGGTGCTGCAGACTTTAGCAGTTGTTTGATTACACTCTAACAGACTTAAAGTGACACTAAACTCAGGAGTTAAATCTCAAAAATACATTTAAGTGCCTTAATTATTAACAAAAATGTATCTTATTTGTGTGTCACTCAGCTGTAGATCCTCAAATCATATCTGAATTCATAAGGACACTGTCCTTCCTTCTAGAGGGCACCTACATTTGTTCCTCACGCCGGTCCCTGCGTATTTTGTAAAGTAGCCACTGCTCCAAGCTCACTCCTGTGATGGACTACAATCTCAATGCAATTTAGTAAACTGAGATTGTAGTCTATCACGAGCTTGGAGCAGTTGCTACTTTACCACACACACACAGGGACCGTGAGGAACAAAAGTAGCCACCCTCCAGAAGGAGTAGCCACCCCACAGCTGAGTGATACACAAAAAAGTTACATTTTTGTTAAAAGTTATGGTTCGTAAATGCATTTTTGAGATTTAACTGCTGAGTTTACAGTCACTTTATTTGATAAATATACTGAATATACTGATTTGATGCTAGCTTTATTTCTATCTTGCGATCCCATCTGTTTCCCAATCAAATCTAGGATGCTACTATTATATGGGACAAAAACAACAATAAGTATTGCACATGTACACACCTGTTTATGGACATGCAAGTGTACATGCAAGAATTTCTCCTCATGTACACAAAGAGTTTCATACATGGCCCAGAACTGCCCTCGTTGTTGTCTGTTCGCGGTGACAGGATGGACCCAGAACCTTCGCCTGCTCAGTATCCTTCTCCTCGAACGCATTATATGCACTGTAGCAACTATTGCTGCAATTCGTCGCCATTTGCACAGATCCATGTTAACAGACTGCAAACAACACACTCTCCACTGTTAAACAAGGAAACAGGAAAAGGAAATGGTGCATCTCAGGAAGTCTTTTTCATTGGATGCCTCCATAGCCAATAAAAAACGCGTGTTTGCAAGTGAAAAAAAATGCGCTAAAACGCTAGGGAATGCGCTCATAAAACGTACGAAAAAAACGCGCATAGAACAAACGCCCAGGTGTGAACCCAGCATAAAAGAGAACTATGGGGTAACCTTTTTATCCCATAGTTCTCTTTAGGGT